GGGGGGGCGCATGATGTGCCACAAGCTGAACCTGGCATGCTTGGCCAGATGAAAACGGTGCGGATTGGTGGAGCAGCGGCGGCGACGGCGGCGGTGGCGGTGGAAGCGGGAGCTGCAGCTGCTGATCAGGTCGAAGATGCTAGGAGAGGGAGTAGGAGGGAAAGAAGCGGAGCGGAGCGCACTTGCGATGTGATGCGCCCTTCCTTTCGAAGCGCGACTCGGACTCAACGCCTGCAGGGAGGTAGGTTGACGGAGTGCAAGTAGAAAGTCTAATTTTGTCCAAGCCTCTTTCTTTCTCCCACCTCTCGTGTTACCATCGTGAATGCGGCGCGCGCATGCACACCACACGCAAATCTCATCATCGAATTGCACTTTTGCGCGGGGGGGGAAACGAATGGTCATTGCAGAAAGCTGCGCCGTGCGCCAAAACCATCGCGAGAAAAAAAAAAACGAAAGAAAACAAAAGAGACAGTCTTTGTTTTTTATCTTGAGAGTTTCTTTTCTTTGACGTGCGTGCGCCACAAGCTTTGCAGCTTTGTCCAATGTTTTCATGCACAATGAGGCAAAAGTCTTGCGGGGGTTGTTTTTTCTTCCTTTTCTTGATATTGCGTGCGTGGGGACCCTGCACCTGCACCTGCACTCTTCGTGAAGCATTGACACCCATGCCCGAAATTCTTCCCCCGCCCCCCTTCTACCCATGCACTCGTGATGGCGTGCCGTGGGCAACGTGACAAAGGGTCGTAACGGAAATGTCTTTTTTTTTTGTCTGTTTCGTCTTCTCGAGAAAGTTGATGCCCTCGGAGCATTCCAAATTTCGTAGAGGTACCCTCGTGGACCTGGAGCGGGGCGGCGGCGTTGCGATGCACAAGCAAATGCGTTGGTTGGCGCCAAAGGGAGAGGAAGAAAGAAGAGCATCACGAATGGCAACTTCAACTTTGATTGGATGAGGAGGCGTGTGGTGATTGCGATGCGATTTGGCGCCTTCTCGCTTGATGGAGCAGGGAAATCGTTGATGCTTACTCAAGGCATGCAATCGTCCACGAGGCGGATAGAGGAAGGGGGGACTGCTGCTTGTCCAAGAGAGGAACAGACGGGGGGCGAAGCGCACACTTGTGGAATGCGCGCGTGAGCATAGAGGCGCCATGGAAACAAGGTTGAGGATCTGCTGCGTCAATCACGTGAATCTCAAGTCTTTGATGTCGAGAAAGTTGCAAAGCCGTCCAAAGTCAAGACGAGGCGGGATGAGAGGCATGACTGGCTGGCTGGGCAAAGTTGCCTGCACAAGTATGGGTGTTCGAGGAAGCGAGAATTGACTTGCTCGAACCGCACGCATGAGAAGAAAAGCGCCGGCTCATCTTGATCCTCTGTATACCTCGTGCGCGCCTGCCCCCCTCCAACGCAACGTTCAATCCGACCCTTGCCCTTCTGCGGCCGACACATCGGCCATCATTGCACCTCCAGCGCCCCTCTTTCTCCTCTTTCTCCTAGCAGCTCCAGACCTTGCCGAGGCGAGACTCTGCATCTGCTTCGCATCTGCATCCGCATCCGCATCCGCCGCCGCCTTGCTCGACGAGTCCTTCTGACTGGTGGAAGCATGCGCTGCTAATCTCTTCGGCCCATCGCCATGGCCACCGCCATGGCCATCGATCAAGCGCACCTTTCTCTTCTTGACGCTCAAAGGATTCGGTTCTTTTGCCTTTTTGCGCTTCTTGTCGGATGAGGCTGAGAGCGAGAGGTTGGCATTGGATGATGGCCCACTGCTGCTACCGCTGCCGCTCGCACCCGCATGCGCACCCGAAGCACCACGCTGGTGCATGTCAGATGAGGCAATGATGTGAGGTGAGGATGTGCCGGAATGGGATTGGGCCGCTGCGCCTAGCAAAGAAGCTTCGTGCGCGTCTGTAGACAGTTTGCGCGCTTCGAGCTGAGGCGCGCGGGATGAAGGTGATGAGCTCGATTGAAGGCGAAAAAGTGGAAAGAATGACAAGACGACGCGACGCGCATGAGCAGACTCACTTGACGAACGCTGTGCATGGTAAGCGTGCTTAAGGGCTCCATGACGAGCACGCCGGTGGGGTTTGTGTGCAAGCATGGCACGCCTGCTATGTGCTGCCTGACGTATTGTCTCAGAGCAAAGTCGTTGGAGCAGAGCACATAACGATGTTTGTTCCTCGCACCTGTTGTCGATGCGAGCGTGAGAGGGCGATGAGCAAAAGAGAGAGAGCACGTGCGCGCAACAGAGACTGACCGATGCAAGATTGGATGCAATCTTGGCTGCTGAGATGCACCTCTTTGTGACCGCACAGTCTCCTCTCGCAGCTCTTTGCCAAGTCGACGGCTGTTCTGTGCGCTGCTTCATGCTTGTCCAGCTTGTACAGCTGCTCGATGCAGCACTGACTGATCAGCAACTTTACTTGCGACTGCTGCTGCTGCGACAACTTGGCCTTGACTCGAGCTTTGCTGCCCAATGCAGCTACAGCGTGAACTTGAAGCGCATCTGCCAATCTCAGAGGCAAGGCTTCTGCGCTGATGTTTTGCTTTGCTAGAGCGAGGATGAGGTCAGCGTCGAGCAGGAGCTGCAGTGGAAGTCTAAAGTTAAAGTGACGCAGGTAGAGGGAGAGGCATTTGCGCGTCTGTTTGGCTCGCTTTTGACGCATTGTAGGCGGGGGTGAGTGTGTGGGGTGTGGGTGTGGGTGAGTGTGAGTGTGTGGGTGTGGGTGAGGGTGAGTGTGTGTGAGTGTGTGTGAGTGTGTGTGAGTGTGTGCGTGTGTGTGCGTGTGGGTGTGCGTGATGTGGTGGAATGGCAAGTGTTGAAGGAGGAGAAGCAAGAAAGCAAGTTGGGCAGGGTCACGTGGGCATGGACTGATGCAAAGTCATGAGTCAAGCAAGAGTTTGGAGTCGTGAGTGTGAATGTAAATTTTGAATTTTGAATCTTGAAGAAGAAGAAGATTCCGCACGGGACGCGCAAGAGCCATGGCCATGTCACGTGGTTCGCTTGCCAGCGCCAACTCTTCTATACGCCCATGCAAAAGCAGGGCAAAAAAATGCGACGCGTGCGCGACTCGCGACTCGCGACTCGTCGGCATCAGCTACTCTACTCTGACTGTACCGTACTGTGACTGTATGCCGCCCGCGGTGTAGAAGAGTTTGAGTTCAGAGAGGGACGCGTCTTCCCTTGCGCGTTGTATGTGTGTGTGGCATCCTTGTCTTACCACTTGGCACATCCCTTCTCATCATCATCATCGCCACCACCACCACCACCACCACCACCACCACATCATCCTTTCACACTGCCATTACGCATCTCGCAGCTTGAGAGCGCGCGCGCGGCTGTACACGCGTACGCATACAACCCGTGCTCCATGCTGCCCACCTCTCCTCCAGCTCCCTCCCATCCCTCGTGTGCGTGCACTGTCGCAGGTGAGTGGATCGAGTATGCTCTGCTGCGCGGAATCAGGAGAGGGTGGGAGTCAGCAAAGCAAAGCAAAGCAAAGCAAATGATTAGAAATACGTTATCATTTAATCTGTCAATCCTCAGAGATGTCTGTGCGCAGCATCCGTGATGGATCAAGTAACCTTTTAGATCCGTTGTCTCTGATGCTCTTGCTCGCCTATCGTCTCGAGTTGCATGTGCATGTGGCTGCGCATGGCTGACTCATCTGTCTGTCTGGCATGCCATTAGCTTTAGCTCTTGCAGCACTTCAACCGATCCGCGCATACACCCCTCTTTCTTTCGAAGCGCTTGCAATGTGAGTCACCAGTCATCCATCACCTTTGTGTTTCATGCGTGGGGGAGGGGGGCAAATAAACGACGAGAGGATGAGCATTCACCGACAGGCGGACTGAAGCTGCTCTTTGTACAAAGAGGGCGACAATGCAAATGTTAGACATCATTATCGGTTGCTGATTGTTCGTTTGGCTGTGGTGCAAAGAGGGGATGCTGTATGCCACTGCACGCGCACAGAGCATGCTGCTGACGCTTACCCGCACGCGCACGCACACACTCTCTCTCGTCTGCCCACGTCTTTGCACGCTCATTCAAGGCTGAAGCAGGGCTGAGGCGGCGCAGGTCAAGCATGTAGGGTTGCGCTTTCCCTCAAGCTTCACCCCCCAATCTCCGTCCTGCGTTCAGCGTCCGTGTCATTCGCAAGGAAAAACACGCCATCTCTGCCGTCGCCAAGCCTTTCGTCATGTCTCCGAGCGCGGTGGATGTAGGGCGTGCAAACGCAAAGCCCGTCGCCAGCACGGCATCGACAGACACGAGCAGCCAAGCAGCAGCAGCAGCAGCAGCAGCAGCATCTCACGCCTCTTCATCACCCTCACCGACATCATCGCCATGGCACAGTCACACGCTCACAATCATCTGGGCATTCCTCAGCCTCCTTTTGACTCCCCTTCAAGCGCTAATCTACCTGCTTCGCATTCCCTTGCGCAAATTGCTGCTCCGCATGCTCTCTCTCGGTCCCATTCCACGCCACATGGCCTTCATCATGGATGGCAATCGACGCTGGGCAAACTCTCAAAAGATCCCGCTTCCCGTCAAACAGGGACACATTTCGGGATTCGGAGCGCTCAAGACCGTGCTGGAAGTGTGCTTGGAATTGAGAGGCTTGGACACGGTTAGCGTGTACGCTTTTGCCATTGATAATTTCAAGAGGGAACCGGAAGAGGTGGAGGCGCTCATGATGCTGGCAAAGAGAAACTTGAAAGAGCTTGCTGGGCACGGGTGAGTCTTTGCCAGTGCTGGTGGTTGGAGTGCAAAAGGTTTCGGTGCAGCGCAAACGGCGTGAAAAGCACAGGGTCGAGAAAGGCTGATGATGCGCTTGTGCTTGCTTGCTTGCTTGCTTGCTCCTCCTCTTCTTCAACGCCACCCGCACAGCGAGGTTTTGGCTAGACACTCGGTGCGCTTGCGCATTGTTGGAAGGAGGGAACTCTTGCCGGTCGACGTGAGAGCGGCAGTGGAGAGCGTAGAGCGAATGACGTTGGGTAATAAGAGGTGAGGGTGGATTCTTGGCGCTAGAGCAGACTCGTTTCGGCCGCGCTTGCGCGCGCACCGGCAACGCCTAGATTGACGATGCTGACTGAGCGCGCGCGCTCCTCTGCTTTTGACTTGACAGGGCAACGCTCAACGTTTGCATACCTTACGCCTCGAGAGACGAAATGGCAGGCGCTGTACGCTCGCTCGTCGACCACACATCGAGATTGAGGCAAAACGAAGTGGAGTGGCAATGCACGCAGGATGCGCTGCAGCAGAGAATGTTGCTGGCTCATAGTCCGCCCGTCGACGTCATGGTGCGCACGTCGGGCGTCAAGAGGTTGAGCGATTTCATGCTCTGGCAAGTGAGTCTCACGGAAGAGAATCTCCACAACTTTCTCTCTTGCGTTCATGTGGTTTGGGAGGGCACCCGCCCCGCCCTCCGGCTCAATGTGGACGCAAGCCATGCTTTTGTTTTCCCCCTGTTTGCGTTCTCTTTTTTTTTCGTGCTGACTGGCCAACCGTTTTTCCATCGACAGTCTTGCGAAGAGACGCATCTGCACTTTACGGCTAGATATTGGCCGCTCTTTGGACTTAGGGAACTCATACCCATCATACTGGACTATCAGCGCGCAGAGTGGAGGAGGAGATTGATGAGCTGGGCCAGCTAAGCTAAGCTAAGCTAAGCTAGCTCGTGCCTACTTTGTCCACGCTCGAGCATCCGCTTCGTCATGATACTTGAAGCAATTTCTTTTGGCCTCGAGCATACTCACGCAGAGCAAGAGCGAGAGCGAGATGAAGGGAGGCCGTTTGGCCCCACCGCACAAGCGCGCTAATCTCGTTGCAATGGCCCGCATGCAGGATTGCGTAACTTTTCACTTGCCTTGCCCTTTTCCGACGCTGCGGTGCAGTCCATCAGTCGCAACTCGATGGGCTGGCACCCAGTCTGAGTCTAGTTTGCCGATTCGCGCGCCTAAGATCACCACTCTGCGACTTGATTGGTGTCAGGCAACATGGAACGAAGCAGGGCCACCTGCATGTGCCCGCTCGTGGGACTCGCCGCACATCACGCACAAGCCGTATCGATCCGCCGCAGAAAGACTTGCCTATTTGCAAAATGCAGCACGAAGGAGCGGATGTGTGTGCTTGCAGAGAAGGGTGAGGGTGAATGATGGATCTTTTTGTCGTCAGGGTGCGGGGTCAAGGATGATGGAATGTATGGGTCAATGCAGATACACGCATCAAAAGAGAATAAAGAGACGAGAAGTGTGTGCGGTAGGACGCTTCTGTGAAGCTGGCGATGGTAGTGCGAAGATGTGGCTGGAAAGGCGCGCCAGATTCGCCATACCGATGCGATGCGATGCGATGCGATGCTCCCCATGTGCCAAAGAAGCGACATTCGCTTCCAAG